CCAGATTTAGACCAATCTTAGACCAGATTTAGACCAATTTTAGACCTGATTTAGACCAATCTCAGACTTGATTTAGACCAAACTTAGACCTGATTTAGACCAATCTTAGACCTGATTAGATCATCTTAGACCTAATTTAGACCCATCTTAGACCTGATTTAGTCCAATCTTAGACCTGATTTAGTCCAATCTTAGACCTGATTTAGTCCAATCTTAGACCTGATTTTGGACCAATCTTAGACCTGGTTTTGGACCTATCTTAGACCTAATTTAGACTAATCTTAGACCAGATTTAGACCAATCTTAGACCAGATTTAGACTAATCTTAGACCAGATTTAGACCAATTTTAGACCTGATTTAGACCAATCTCAGACCTGTTTTAAACCAAACTTAGACCTGATTAGATCATCTTAGACCTGATTTAGACCAATTTTAGACCTGATTTAGACCAGTCTTAGACCTGATTAGGGACCCGTCTTAGACCTGATTTAGACCCATCTTAGACCTGATTTAGACCAATTTTAGACCTGATTTAGACCAATTTTAGACCTGATTTAGACTCATCTTAGACCTGATTTAGACCAATCTTAGACCTGATTTTTGACTAATTTTAGACCTGATTTGGACTTGGTTTAACCTGGTTTGTACTTATTTTTTTCCTGATTTGAAGGTTTGATTTGACCAGTTTCAGACTCAGTTTGGTCCTGGTCTGGACCTGGTTTTGGGTCCTCATAATGTCCTGACTTTTTGACAGTCCTCATCGACATACAGGAGTGTTTTCAGGAAGTGTGTGTCTTATCGCAGCAACACATCCACTGTTTGTGTGTGTTTGTGTGTGTGTGTGTGTGTGTGTGTGTGTGTGTGTGAGTGTGTGTGTGTGTGTGTTTCCTGCCATTATTCTGCCTGTTGGTTCCCACACACACTTCCAGTCCGGTCCTGAGCCTCACACTAGGTCTTCCCAAACAACCAGACCTGGATCAGAGCTGGTTTTTGGACTCTAGACTTCAGTTTTTCTTTTGAGGTCTGGATTTGGATTTTACCCGGTTCTATGGACCTGCACCATCCTGCCTCTGGTTCTGGGTCTGTGTTAGACCAGATCCTCAGTCTGTAAGTGTGAATCCAGGTTGGACCCACATCAGAATCAAACATGGTTCTGGTTCTGTGAGTCTCCACCAGTCCTTGGTTCTTCTGGACCTGAACGGAGCTCCTCATCATGCACACCATCCATCGCCTGTGTCAAGCCTGCATCGGACAGAACCTGCCGCAGGTCCGACTCTCTCTCTCTCTCTCTGGGTTTTAAATGTTCTGATCAGAACTCATTGATGAGGACGGTCTGGGCTCGGGCTTTGGACCTGGACCAAGAAGGTCCTCCAGGTTGGGAGTTCAGTTTGTCAGAAACATCAGGACAAAAAAATACTAAATCTACATGTTTTATGGAGTTTGGTGGGAAAAAATAAACTTATTGAACACACACAGAAACACAAACACTCACACAGAAACACACACAAAAAACACACACTCACACGCACCGGAAAGCAGAACAACTCGTCTGATTGGTCGGGTAAGGCGATGTCGCAGCTGTTTTTGTAATTTCCCAACACGAAACTCCATATTTCTGTGTTTTTGTGTGAAACACTTGAAGAGGAAGCTGTTTTCTCATGGTGGTCCAGGTTCTGGTCCAGGCTCTGGTCCTGGTTCTGAAGGTTTTCCTGAAGTTCTGGTCCCTGTTTGAACAGCGAACTAACTCAGAACCATCAGGACCAGCAGCAAGGACTCGTCCTGTCAGCCTCGAACCCAAAGTCCTGCAGAAAAAGTCAAACAGTGAATACCTTCACCCTGGAGCTCGTCTCCTCAGGAGAACTTTAATATCAGCCTGTCAGTCCGAACTCAGGGACGTTAAACCCCTTTTGTCCGGAGAAAACTCTCAGGATGCGTCGACCTTTCTGTCTCTTCCTCGCTGTTTGCAGAGTCATGGAAACGGCTCTGAGACCAGGACCCAGATGGGCCTCTGGACTGGACCTGACACAAATAAACCCGAGTCGGTCAACAGAACTGAAGGGGTCCTGAATCAGGACCACCTTCAGGCTCAACCCAGTACAACACCAAAACACAAGAACTGTAGTGGTGCTGAAAATTAATGTTTAGTAAACAGAAACTCCTTCGCACCTGGACTTCAGCTGGACTCTGTTTCAGCTGATGTCCTGGACTTCAGCTGGACTNTGTTTCAGCTGATGTCCTGGACTTCAGCTGGACTCTGTTTCAGCTGATGTCCTGGACTTCAGCTGGACTTTGCTTCGGCTTATGTTTCGGACTTCAGCTGGACTTTTTTTTGACTGATATTCTGGCTTTTGTTTCGGCTGATGTTCTGGACTTCAGCTGGACTTTGTTTCAGCTGATGTTCTGGACTTTGTTTCAGCTTATGTTCTGGACTTTGATTTGGCTGATGTTCTGGACTTTGTTTTGGCTGATGTTCTGGACTTTAGGTGGACTTTATTTCTGCTGATATTTTGGACTTTGTTTCGGCTGATGTTCTGGACTTCAGCTGGACTTTTTTTCAGCTGATGTTCTGGACTTTGTTTTGGCTGATGTTCTGGACTTCAGGTGGACTTTGTTTCAGCTGATGTTCTGGACTTTGTTTTGGCTGATGTTCTGGACTTCAGGTGGACTTTATTTCTGCTGATGTTTTGGACTTTGTTTCGGCTGATGTTTTGGACTTTGTTTCGGCTGACATCCTGGACTTAATTTTGGCTGATATTCTGGACTTTATTTCGGCTGATATTCTGGACTTCAGCTGGACTTTGTTTCAGCTGATGTTCTGGACTTTGTTTTGGCTGATGTTCTGAACTTCAGCTGGACTTTGTTTCAGCTGATGTTCTGGACTTTGTTTCTGCTGATATTTTGGACTTTGTTTCGGCTGATGTTCTGGACTTCAGGCAGACTTAATTTCGACTGATATTCTGGACTTTGTTTTGGCTGATATTTTGGACTTTGTTTTGGCTGATGCCCTGGACTTAATTTCGGCTGATATTCTGGACTTTGTTTCAGCTGATGTTTTGGACTTTGTTTCGGCTGACATCCTGGACTTAATTTTGGCTGATATTCTGGACTTTATTTCGGCTGATATTCTGGACTTTGTTTCAGCTGATGTTTTGGACTTTGTTTCGGCTGATATTTTGGACTTTGGCTGATGTTCTGTTTCTGCTGATATTCTGGACTTTGTTTCTGCTGGTATTCTGGACTTTGGCTGATGTTTTGGACTTTGTTTCGGCTGATATTTTGGACTTTGGCTGATGTTCTGTTTCTGCTGATATTCTGGACTTTGTTTTGGCTGATGTTCTGGACTTGTTTTGGCTGATGTTTTGGACTTTGTTTCGGCTGATATTTTGGACTTTGGCTGATGTTCTGTTTCTGCTGATGTTCTGGACTTGTTTCGGCTGATGTTCTGGACTTGTTTCGGCTGATGTTCTGGACTTGTTTCGGCTGATGTTCTGGACTTGTTTCGGCTGATGTTCTGGACTGTTTTCCTGCAGGTCACCATCGTTCGAGGGAAAGACGGGTTTGGATTCACGATCTGCTCAGATTGTCCGGTCAGAGTCCAAGCTGTGGATCCAGGTGAGACACAGCACCTAAACGTCAAATGTCCTGTGGACATGTCCACTCAGGACATGTCCACTCAGGACATGTCCACTCGGGACAAAGACAAATTTATTAAAGAAACTGAAACTTATCTTAGAGAACATTAGCTAAAAGAAGGAAAGCATTAGAAAAAAATAAGCTGAATATCAGGTAAAGGCCAATAAGTAACACAACATCAGCTAAAAGACAGATTATTAATCCAGAGAAATTCACTAAAAGCTAAAAGTCAAAGATTGCTAGCCAGAAGTAGCAAAACATTATCTAAAAGAAGCAAGCTAAAGCTAAATGTAGCATAAGGCTACACAGTGGATAAAACCTTCAGCAGTCCAAAGTAAACCTGCTGAAGCAGGTAAAGGCTTCACCTGGACGTGGTTACCTGGTTAGCTGTCAGGTGACGTCTCGGTTTGACTTCCTGTGTTGCAGGTGGTCCGGCTCATCAGTCCGGACTTCGGCAGGGAGACTCGGTCCTGCAGCTGAATGGATTCCCCGTAGAAACCTGGAAATGTGTCGACCTGGCCCACGCCATCAGGTAACCCCTAACCCATCTGACTCCACACCTGGTCAGGTAACTCCACACCTGTCTGCAGAGCTCTTTGATCCAACAGGAAATCACTTTTTAAAAAAATGTTTAGCTAATAGTTTCAGCTTGAAGACATCTGTCCTGAAACTCGTCTCTTCTCAGGAGCTGCTCCTCTCACATCGGGTTGGTGGTGTGGAGAGGCTTACCTGAGCTCAGCTCTCGTTGTGAAACTTTGCTCCGCCCACCAGCTTACAACACGGTGAGTCACACCTGAATGGTTAACTCCTGACCCTGTGATTGGCTCTTGATGATGTCACTCAGATTTGGCTGTGTGATGTCACCGTTGTGACCCTTTTTGTTTCCTAGACGACGGGCAGCAAGCTGCTGTCCCATCCCTCCCACAGCAAACATGGCCGCCGGCGGGGTCAGGGGTTTGGGGTCCGGTCCAGTCTGGGGGCGCTGGGTTCTCTGTGGAGGGACAAGAAGGATGACCAGAGAGAAGAGGAGGAGGAGGAGGAGGAAGATCAGGAGGTGTTCTCCCCAAACACCACTACACTTACAGGCACTCGTGTGACATCATCAAACGGAGACAATTACATCATCCTGTCACCTGTTAATCCAGGAGGACAGGTGAGTCAGAGGGGGCTGTCCTTATGATGGAAAAGAACAGATTTATCTGAGTTTGATCTCAAACCTTTTACCGAACGATTTCAGATTTAATTTGAGCATGGAGCACCAAGAGTAAAATTAAAAGAATGTCAAATCTTAAATTTACACAAGAAAATCTAAATGTAAAAATTAAATCTTAAATATGGAAGTTAAATGATAAATTTAGTATTTAAAAATTTCAGAAGTCATTGGTGCAAGGCTTCTGTTAAGATGATGTCAACGCTGCTAACACTGCTAATGCTGCTAACACTGCTAATGCTGCTAACACTGATAATGCTGCTACCACCACTAATGTTGCTAACTCTGCTAATGTTGCTAATGCTGCTAATGTTGCTAGTGCTGCTACCACGGCTAATGTTTCTAATTCTGCTAATGTTGCTAACTCTGCTAATGCTGCTACCACTGCTAATGTTGCTAACTTTGCTAATGTTGCTAACTCTGCTAATGCTGCTAGTGCTGATAATACTGCTACTACTGCTAATGTTGCTAACTCTGCTAATGTTGCTAACTCTGCTAATGTTGCTAACACTGCTAATGCTGCTACCACTGCTAATGTTGCTAACTCTGCTAATGCTGCTAGTGCTGATAATACTGCTACTACTGCTAATGTTGCTAACTCTGCTAATGTTACTAACTCTGCTAATGTTGCTAACACTGCTAGCTCTGCTAATGCTGCTAACACTGCTAATGCTGCTAGCACTGCTAATGCTGCCAACACTGCTAAGGCTGCTGATACTGCTAATGATGCTAACACTGCTCAAGCTGCTAATGCTTTTTAGGCTGTTCACGCTTCTGATGGTGTTAACTCTGCTGACGCTGCTAACTCTGCTGACGCTGCTAATGCTGCTAACAATGCTAAGGCTTCTATACAATACATCAAACTTGCAGCCAGAGTCCAAGCTGCACTTAAATTTGCCAAAAAGGTATCATCCATGTTGTTTTGAACACATTGATAGATTTATTTTTTAATGCCATCTTTAGCAGCATTAGCAGGGTTAGCAGCATTAGCAGCATCAGCAGCATTAGCCTTTGTTGCTGAATGATGACGTCACAACAAAAGCTGCGCACCAACAGCAAAGGCTATGTTCCATTCTGAAATGCTTCACTTTCACATTTAGATTTAGGATTTAACATTTAGACACAATATTTAAATTTAGCATTTAGTAAAAAGTAGCTAAATGTAAGAACAGTGAGCTAAACAATAAAATGAATTTGTTCTGGTGAATTTCTGCTGTAACCAGATGTTCTGTTTCAGCTCCTTCATCCGGTGTACCAGGACAGGAACGGAACAATCGGTGAGTCCGATCGGACCCTGGTTTGTTGATAAATGTACTGATCAGAACCTGATGGGGGTCTCTGTGGTTCTGCAGGTCGTCTGTACCAGACTCACCCCTGCAGAGGTCAGAACCTCCTTCACAATCCTCGACCCGGGAAGTCCCAGCGACCGTCAGCCAGCCGCACCTCCACGCTGCCTCCCCCGCAGCCCAGAACCGCTCCGTCGGCCCCCCATGGTAACCATGGGAACTACCAGAACTGTACCATCGTTCAGTCCCACCTGCCCCGCTCCGGGTACGGAAACTACGTCACCCTGGCACCCAAAACCCTCATCTTCCCCATCTTTGTCCAGGTCAGGATTATTTATCTAACCCCCTCTTAACACCAGAAACGGTTCAGAACTGGTCCAGAACTGGTCCAAACTCTCCTTTCATGGTTAAAGAACTGAGTTGTTGTTGTTTTCAGCCTCTGGATCTCTGCAGCCCCGACAGAACTCTGCTCATGTCGGAGGAGATGATCCTGCATCAGGCCGACTTGCTGCCTGCGAAGGTAACCGAACCCTGCTCCGGTCCAAAACCAGTCAGTCGATTTCTATAAAAAATGCTCCGAATGCGGAACGGATCAATACCAAGAAACAATCTTCAGCTTGGTTCTGATGTTTCACTGGAAGAAAAGAAAAAGAAACAGGATTGGTAGATTTCTGTCTGCAGAGTATCGACGGATTCATCGTTTTATTTTAGAGTCATGAAAAACATGAAGAACCTGATCTGCCTCAGAGAGCTGATCCAGGATCAGTTTCACATTAATGGACCCTCCTGATGCTGCCCCCCTGCACGCGCGCACACACACACACACACACACACACACACACACACACACACACACACACACACACACACACACACACACACACACACACACACACACACACACACACACACACACACACACACACACACACACAGAGCTGTTTCTGGGAATCCTCCTCGTTTTGTTTTCAGGGTTTCAGTAAACCTCCAGCTGAGATGTTTATCAGATGTCTGACTCTAACGGAGGATATCGATGGCGGCTCCACGTCCCGGTGTCTTTAAACCTCCAACCTGTTCACCTCAGAACATCGTCCTCCTTCTTTATCGTACCAGAAGCTCGCCAGAAATAGAAATGAAGCCAAAATGATGTGAAAAACTGAACGTCGCCTTACAGAAAAAAAGAGTTTGTTGGATTTTGGCTTCATTTTTGTTGAATAAATGAAGTTGGTACCATTCTTTGAAAAAATGTGCATCACCCAGACTTTTAGACAAACATTATCTAATAACTGAGAAACAACAGAGTTGTTAAATAGTTATTAAATACATTTTGTTGTGTACTTGGAGTCTGTAGATGGCAGAAATTTGTAATTATTTTTGGGTTATATTTTTCAATCTGTTCAGTTTTCTCTAATCCTAACCCTAACTCTGTTCTGTCTTAACCTATTAATGTAGAAAAAAAGTTGATTGATTGATTATTGATCAGTAACGTCACAGTATTTGCTGCAGAACCGATAAACAAAGTCATGGACTCCCAACTAACGAATTCAAGGCTCTGCAGACTGGTGGTCTTCATTTTCCTCTGGCTCTGATTCAGACTCTGGCTCAGACTCTCTGATTCAGACTCTGGTTCAGACTGATTCAGACTCTGGTTCAGACTCTGGTTCAGACTCTGGCTCAGACTCTCTGGTTCAGACTGGTTCAGACTCTCTGACTCAGACTCTGGTTCAGACTCTAGTTCAGACTTTGTGGTTCAGACTCTGGTTCAGACTCTCTGGTTCAGACTCTGGCTCAGACTCTCTGGCTCAGACTCTGTGGTTCAGACTCTGGCTCAGACTCTGTGGTTCAGACTCTGGTTCAGACTCTCTGGTTCAGACTCTGGCTCAGACTCTGGCTCAGACTCTGGCTCAGACTCTGTGGTTCAGACTCTGGCTCAGACTCTGGTTCAGACTCTCTGGTTCAGACTCTGGTTCAGACTCTCTGACTCAGACTCTGGTTCAGACTCTGGGTCCAACTTGTGAGACATGATGGAAAAGTCTTCTCTTGTTGAGATCTTTTAATTCATTTGTAAATAAAAGGTTTCTGCACAGCTAGATATTCATATCTGTGCTGTCAAACTACAAAAAGGACCAAATGTGGTGGCGCCTCATTTACATTCAAAGAGACAGCATCAAAACGAGTTGGTCACCAGTTTTAGTCCTGAGATAAATGAACACATATTTTCTGTGTGTTTCAGGTCACGGTGTTGATCTACAGCGACCTGCTGCTGTTTACCAGAGAGGATGAAGCTGGGCGCTGTAATGTCCTGCAGAGTCCTCTGTACCTGAACACAGTCCAGCTCAGAGAGGGTAATGTGTTCCTGCTGTTTTTATCTGCACAGGAAGTGATGTCATCGTGCTTCTTCAGTAACTTACTGCTTTGCGTCACAGCTACCATGAGAAATTTTAATGTGTGAGTCTTCCCAGGACTCTCAGATCAACCAAATTACCAAAACACATCATTTACCAGCTCTGCAGTTCTCTGCTGTAGAGCTCCTTCAGGTGGAAAACACTCAGTATCACCACCGAGTCAGTCTGAGCTGAGAAGAAAAAGATTTAAGGTTTTCAGCAGTTTTATTTTTTCTTTGAATATTTTACCTGAAAGACGAAGTCCTCCTGGCCCCACATGGGGCGCCATAATGTTGAGATTTTAATTTTAGATTTAAACAAGCATCTGTTTACCTTTTGATCTTTTATATTTTCATTTTAACTACAGATGTTGAAAAACAAAAAAGGATAGTTATTTGCTGCCTTTTTATTTTTCAACCAATTAAATTTTGTTAAGAGCGAAAGTTGTTATAATCTGAATGGGGTAGAGATGTTTGTGAAACCTGGATTTCAAACTAGTTTTAGGGAGCGGTGTTCTTCCATACAAGGAATAAGACTATGGAACAATCTGGAGAGTGATGTCAAAAATGCCAGATCAATGTTTATGTTTAAGAGAATGATAAAAGTCACTTTGTTAAAGAAATATGAAACAATATAATGTGTATTAATACGAATTGTTGTTCGACAAGGATTTGAGGTATTTTTAGTTTAGTTTTTCTTGTTTGTAGATTATTACTGTTTAAACGTATTAATTTTGGGAGGAAAAAGGCGCCAATGCTATAAGGTTTATTTTTCTTCTTTCTCCCGCTTTTCTTTTTATGTGATTTGTATTTTTATTGTATATAAATTTATTTAGTTATTTTTCAAGAGATGAATAAAAGGAAAAAGGCAACAACAAAAAGTCAAAATTTCCATTTCTGGAGTATAAAAAGAAATTAAATGATGTAAATTTTAAATGAATAACCAAAAAGTACACAGACCAACCAGGGCCCCATTGTTAGACAGTCGGATGAGATTTATTTACATCAGACGATTTATTAGCTGTTTTATGTTGTTTTGGTCGTCTCGTAATCTGGATCTCTTGGGAGCTGCTCAGGAGCTTCAAATATTTAACCACAATAAACAGTAGATTCAGATCAACAGACTTATGGACACTGAAAAAAAATTATAATAATTCTGACTTTTTTCTCAAAATTCAGTTTTTAATCTCAGAATTCTGATTTGTTTGTTGTTGTTTTTTTTCAGCGGCCCTAGTCCTCTTTCATAGACTTGTCTGTAAAACTATGTTATTTGTAATTTCTTGATTCAGTCAGTCAAACCTTGGATCTGGTCTGAACTGACCCCTCTCAGCCAATCAAAAGCTTGGATTTGATGTTTACTTTGTTGTTATTTTCAGTGTCATCCGAGCCTCTCCACATCTACTTCCTGCAGAGCTCTCAGAGCTGCTGGCGCTGTCTCTTCAGCTTGGAGGCCTTCAGCATCGAGCAGAAGGTCCGGGTCAGCCTCTGCCTCCATGACAACATACAGCTTCAGCTGGTTTCCACAGAAAGCGGCCGCAGCCAGCAGGTAGGACACCTTCATGTTCACTAACAGCCACCTGTCCAGGTAGAACTCAGGACTGTTCCAGGTCTCTGAAACTCTAAACCATTCCAAGAGTCCAGTAAAAGAAACATCTTCTTCTCCTCAGCTCTCAGAACTCCCTTCAGATTTTGGCCTCCTGTCTCTGGGACAGTCCGACCTCCTTTATCACCCGTCTTCTCCTTACGCCACCCTCTGTGACCCCCAAAGACCCGCCTCCCCCTCTCCTTACTCCTGTGGATCCCTCCTCTCTTCCTCGACCACTCCTCCTCCTCCTCCCCTCCCCTCTGCCTCCGCCCCCGTGCACATCTCTTCCTCACCCACCTCCATGACCCTCACCTCTCCTCCTCCTCCGTACATCTACCCGCCGTGCTCCTCCGCCTCCTCCACTCTGAGGAGTCCTGTCTGGAAAGAGAGGGGGGAGACGGAGGAAGATGGGAGAACCAAGAGGAGACGAGAGGAGGAGGTTGGGGAGCGGCAGCAGGGGGAGGGGGAGAGCGCGTCTGAGACGTCGGAGAGCGTGGGAGGTGTTGTTGGGCAGGGCCTCCTGATCAGCCCCCACCTCTTCAACCTGAAAGATGAGTGTGAAGAGGAGGAGGAGAGCGATGATGAAGAGGGAGGAAGTGATGAGGAGTTCACCTCCAGACCTGCAGGTTGGTTTTGTTACCAGAGTTCCTGTTTCTGGACTAAAATGGGCTGAAAGAAATGCTCTCTCTGCTTTGTTTCAGTTCTGCGTCGCTCTCTCTCTGAGGGCTCGTTGCTGCAGGAACCTCGATCTCCACGTTTCCTGTCTGACAGCACCATTCACCGTCTGACCCGCACTGCGACCTTTGACCTCAGCCTTGCCTCAAGCCCCAACCCCAATCCTCCCTCCCCTCAGACTCTGAGGAAACACTTGACCAAGGAAGGGGTGTCCCTGCACCACATGTTGCTTCTGCTCCACGGCACCAAGGTACAGACCAGAACCAGAATCCAGTTTCACCAACATACAGACTCTCAGAGCAGTCCTAAAACCCTGACCCAAAGACCTTAACACAGCAATGTGGACCGTTACTGACCATCAAGAATAAACATAGACCATAACAGACCAACACCAAAACAGGCCAATACAGACCATCATAGACCATTGTAGACCAACGCAGACCAAAACAGACTAATACCAAACACCATGGACCATAGACATGAATGAACCAGACTAGACCAGTGTGATGAAGTTTTACAGTTTCTTTCTTCATTCAGGATGAAGAGTCCAGAAACCGTCAGCTCAAGAAGAAGACCAAGAGTCTGTAAGTAAACCAGAAGACATTCATTCCTTCATTCATTCATTCATTCATTCATTCATTCATTCATTCATTCATTCATTCATTCAGTCAGTCAGTCAGTCAGTCAGTCAGTCATTCAGCCAGCCTGTAAGTTAGTTAGTTAGTTAGTTAGTTAGTTAGTTAGTTGTTCTGACTTGTCCTTGTGACTTTTCAGGGTCGCTGATGTACGAAGCCGTTTGGCGTTTCTACGGAGACGTAAGAACTGTACCGGTATCCATGGTAACAGTTTGGAGAAAGCTCTAAGAAACCACAGGTAGGAAACCATCAGGATCACCGTGAACTAGATCCAAAACTGATTCCTACCTGGACCCTGAAACCTGGTCTCTGTTTGGTGTTTCAGACCGTCTGTAGGAGAAGTACTGAGGTGGGCGGAGAGTCTGGAGGCGTTGCTGACCAATCAGTGTAAGACTTCCTGTTCACCTTGAACCAGTTGTTTGTAGGTGAAGATACGGTCAGTTTACAGATTCGGTCTCTTGTTCTGATTGGTCAGATGGTCTGGCAGTGTTTCGTCACTTCCTGAGGTCAGAGTTCAGCGAAGAGAACCTGGACTTCTGGTTGGCTGTGGAGAGATTCAGGAGGACACGCCCCTTTAGTAAGATGGCCGCCAGGGCTGAGAAAATCTACAATGAGTTTATTTCTCCTAACGCAGTGAGACAGGTAACCTGTTTGTCATCATTTCCTCTGATTGGTCTAAAAACCATCAGTTGACCCCAGCTGTTCTGTCTCCAGGTCAACGTGGACTCATTCGTCAGAGACTCAACAAATCAAAGCCTACGGTTCTGTGTTAACCCCGCCTCCTTCCAGCTGGCCCAGGATCAGATCTTTACCCTCATGGAGACTGACAGTTACCCACGATTCCTCAGGTCCCGCCTCTATGCTCAGCTGGCCAATCCAAATCTAGAGACGGAGCCGCCCAATCAGAGGAGGTCTAACAGCCAATCGTGAGCAGGGATGAATGAGTGAACCAATCAGAACAGCTGATCAATAAAGAGGACATTTCCAGCTGCATTATGCAGTATTTTCAGCTCATATTTGGACTTCAGTGTTAAAAGTTCAGTGTTGGACTTTATGATTTTAATAAATTGTTTAGTTTAAGATGTGTCTGTTTTAATGAAGTTTAACCTCTTTGTGTTGAGTCTGTACCATCAAAGCCAGAGGGACGGTTAGCTTGTTAGCATTTTCTGTTTTTCTGTCTGATGAAACAGCTTTTTATTAAAAATTATTCTCGTGGCTGTTAACACGTTTGACTGGTTTCTTTCCTGTCGGCCTCAACTGGATTTTATCTTCATTGCTTAAACCCCAAAAACAAAATATTTTATCCCAAATGCTTTAAGAGGAACCAGCAGACCAGAAGCTGTGATGTCATGATACTGATTTTATAATTTTTTTAACAAACTAACTAAAGTTATTGTGTAGTTATGTTTGTTGTTTCTGTTTTACAATAAAAGATGTTAATGTTGGACCCACAGCTGGTTCGGTTTTGTCACTAGTTTTGGGGAAGAATGATTACTCTGCTCCGATTTTAAATTAATGAGTCAGAATTTAGTTAAATTTTATTTTAATAAGTTTCAGAATCTTATTTATTTATTTATTCGTTTGGACCTGATAAACCACACTGTGGTACTGGTCTGGTACTGATTTGCTTCTCAGAGTGAAACACTGACATCCAGTGGTCATTTAAGGAATTACAGCCTCACCTTGAAGTTGTTTCACAATTTAAAAAAATGCAGTTTTTCTTATTTAGTATTTGTTTTTGTATCTGTTGTGTATTTTAAAAGGTTTTAGTTGAATCCACCTGAGATTCTGACTCTGACCATAAAGGCCATCGAGTTCAGATAAACACCATCTTATTAAAACAAAGATTTCTTTCTGTCAGAGCAGACGTCATTAACGTGAGACAAAAGAAAACACAGGGACACACTGCAGCTGTTTTATTACAGAGACACATCTGGACACTCTCTTTCAGGGACTGGGACCTTGGACTAACCAGCCAGGATGTGTTTAACGAACTCGGTGTAGTTGATGTGTCCGTTGGCGTCCTCCTGTCCCGCCATGAGACGGTCCACCTCATCTTCAGTCATCTTCTCCCCCAGAGTGGCGAGGACATGGCGTAGCTCCGCCCCCATCACGGTGCCGTTGCCCTCCTTGTCAAAGACCCTCAGACCCTCCACAAAGTCCTCGAAGTTGCCCTGCTCTTTGGCGCGGGCCACGTGCTGCAGCATGGGCAGGAAGGTGTCGAAGTCCAGCAGCTTGACGTTCATCTCCTCGGCCTTCGGTCTCCCCAGCAGCTTCAGGACCTCGTCGTTGGTGGGGTTGTGTCCCAGCGCCCTCATAACGTCGCCGCACTGGGCGTAGGTGATCTTCATCTCCCCCGTGGGCGTCTCGTCAAACAGCGAGAAGGCGTCTCTGAACTCTTCGATCTGGTCTGGACTGAACTCCACCACGATGCTCTTCAGGTCCACCTCCGGAGGTTTGGGCTCCGGCTCCACGGGCTTTGGAGGAGGAGGAGGCTCCTCCTTCTTCACCTCCACCTTCTTTACCTCCGGCTTCTTTGGTTCCACCTTCTTAGGAGGCATGCTGCTGCAGTGCAAAGGGCAGAGATGGAGGAAGCGTCCTGCCGGCTGCTTTATAGAGGCCGGTGAGGGAGAGCGGAGAGGAGCAGACCAAAGATGGAAGAAAACTGGAATAGAAACACTCAGGAGATAAGAGACCAGAGATAAGAAGCTTCCAGAACCTGTAGAGGCAGGCAGACTGAGGGCTGCTTCACATCATGGTTTCACCAACAGAAATAAACCAACCTGATGGTTCTGTGCTGAGGACGTCAGCAGAACCGGATTGAACATTTAAACAGTTTCAGTCACGCAATGATGTTAACAAAACTTCCCGTAAAGCTACAACTAAACCCCTGGCAAATTAATAACAAGCCACTAACCAACTACTAACAAGCTACTAGCCAACTACTAACAAAGTATTAACAAGCTACCAAAAAGCCCTGCTAAAAACTACACACCAAATTACCATCAAACACTAATAACCTGCTTTTAAACGTCACACAACAACCATCAGGCTATGAACACGTGTCAGAACTGTACACAAACTACCATCAGACTACCATTAGACTATCATCAGACTACCATCGGATTACCATCAGACTACCATTAGACTATCATCAGACTACCATCGGATTACCATCAGACTACCATCAGACTATCATCAGACTACCGTCGGATTACCATCAGACTACCATCGGATTACCATCAGACTACCATCAGACTATCATCAAACTACCATCGGATTACCATCAGACTACCATCGGATTACCATCAGACTACCATCGGATTACCATCAGACTACCATCGGATTACCATCAAACTACCATCAGACTATCATCAGACTATCATCGGATTACCATCGGATTACCATCAGACTACCATCGGATTACCATCAAACTACCATTAGACTACCATCAGACTACCATCAAACTACCATCAGACTACCATCAGACTACCATCAGACTACAGACACTTTACAATACTCATCTAACATGAAGAGGAATTTGTTTTATATTTATTGTGTAAATCTTAGGGAACATGTACACAGCCTGGTGTCTTGTTCCTGACAGGCACTGGTGGTCTCCTGGACTGATGTGGGTTCAGACCCTGCTGCAGGATTCCTCTGGTCTTGTGGACCTCCAAACCTCCCTGACTTTATTCTCTGGACTCTATTTCTGTCTCTTTATCTGTGGAGCTGATGGATGCACGCAGACACTGTGATAAGGAAGTCCATTACCCAGCATGCTCTCTGTTTTCCTGCTGGGACGGGGCTCATCTCAACAACACAACTGCAGAGACACCAGACTCAGTCAGTTCTTCCTCTGACCTGGTCTCTGTGTGGATCCACAGGAGCTCTGAGGACCAGAACCTCCTCTTACATGTGGTTTGTTTGGTTCTGTAGGATCTGCAGGAGATCAGGTTCTGTCTCCACAGAAACCTTCAACATTCCTCCACATAAACTTCTGTCTGACCTGAAAATATCAGTTTATCTGCTGACTGAGCAGCTGTGGTCCAGGTGTGGTTTCTATGGTTCAGGAGTGGTTTATATGGTCCATGTGCAGTTTCTATGGTCCAGGTGTGGTTACTATGGTCCAGGTGTGGTTTCTATGGTTCAGGAGTGGTTTATATGGTCCAGGTGTGGTTACTATGGTCAAGGTGTGGTTACTATGGTACAGGTGTGCTTACTATGGTCCAGGTGCGGTTTCTATGGTCCAGGTGTGCTTACTATGGTCCAAGTGTGGTTCCGGTCCAGGTATGGTTTCTATGGTCCAGGTGCAGTTTCTATGGTCCAAGTGTGGTTTCTATGCTCCAAGTGCGGTTTCTGTCGTTTGTATGGTCCAGGTGTGGTTTCTATGGTCCAGGAGTGGTTCTATGGCAAGAAAACAAACATAAACACATGTTAATAATATAAATAATAACAAACACAAACATGTGGAGAGTGAGTAAAGGCAGCAGCAGAGTGAGGAACTGTGGTCAGTTTATAGCAGCAGAACTAAAGGATACTTCAGGAAACCCAAATATGAAAAATAAAAGTCTTAAAGTAGACAGAGTGTCAGCCTCACCAGAAACTGGAAGTTGGTTCCACAAGAGAGTTGTCTGAGAACTGAAAACTCAGCAACCTGTTTTAGAACCTCTAGGAACCACAAGGAAACCTTTTCATTTTGTGTTTTTAAAAGATTTTATGTTAAATAAAAATAATTAACTGAGTTCTTTCTGTGTTTTTCAGGCCCTCAGACAAACTGCAGCTCCCCGAGCTCCACTGAATCAAGTTCAACAATGCAGGAATGTGTGTGTGTCTGTGCGTGCGTGTGTGTGTGTGTGTGTGTGTGTGTGTGTGTGTGTGTGTGTGTGTGTGTGTGTGTGTGTGTGTGTGTGTGTGTAAGAGCTGACAGATATTTCATTCGATGGAAGAACGAGGGGACAGAAGTAACAGAACCAGAGAAAACAGGAGGAAGAAGAAGAAGAGCGACAGCAGAACTCGTGGATGAACATTTGGAGGAACCGTGTGTCGTTCAGGTGAAGACAGAAAAGTTAGGAAACTTTTTATTGTTGCCTGTTTCATTTGTGCGTTTTTTTATGTTCCCGTGAGCGGAGTTCTGATCTCCAGCTCAGAGTTTTTGCTCTGAACTGTTTGAGGTGAAACTTTATGCCTTTTAGTCCTGATTTCAGGTGAGTTTAAGTTTCTCTCAGGTTCTGTTTGTGTATGGTTTCCTCAGGCTGACACCAGGTGGCGCTAAAAACACCTGCCCTGTTTGTATGAATGCTGCTGATCTTTCATGCATTCATGAGGGAGTGAGGGAGTGAGTCTTTGTGTTGTAAATGTGATTAGACTCACGGAGCGACTGTGTTGTTGTTGACCTACTTGTGCTGAAGCACAAACCGTCTCTTTCAGCCTGAATCGAACCTCTTGTCCACCTTCAGCTCGATATGTTATTTATAAAAAACTTTATTTTTCTACAAGCAGGTTTAAAACACACTCCTGACTTACAGTTCTAACATTTTAGTTTTTAACAAGAGTTTATTGTTCCTGAGTGACGGTTAGATGGGTCAATGGATCGGGGTCTTGTCCCCAGTAATGAGGGCGTTGCTTCGGTTGGTTGTGGTGAGGAAAGAGTTGAATGAAAACTTTTAATTTACTGGTCCGTCTAGGTTCCAGCCCTCACCTGTGGTCATGGATCCATGAATGACTCTGGACACAATCGTCTGAAACAAACTTCCTTCATAGAGTGGCAGGGATTTGATAAATCTGTGTTTGTTGAATCATTTTATTTTGAAGGAGACAGACAGGGGAGACAAATTCCATCAGGTTTACACCATCTGTTGACAGGAAACAGAGGCAGATACCTGTTGACAGAAGTCACAGGTGTGATCCAGGTCTCTCCTCACTTTGGCCTACATAAACCCAACCACAAACTGGTCACCTGTGGCATTGAAAGATCTGAGCCACATAAACCAAACTATGATTGGGCCAGTTGTTGTATTGAAATATTTGGTCCACAAAAACAAAACTACGACTGACACAGTTGATGCATTGAAATATTTGGTCCACATAAACCAAACTATGACTGAGCCAGTTGTTGCATTGACACATTTGGGTCACATTAACCAAACTATGACTGGACCACTTGTTGCATTGACACATTTGGGCCACATAAACCAAACTACAGCTGAGCTACTTGTGGCATTGACCCATTTGGTCTGCAAAATCCAAACTACGACTGGGCCATTTGTTGCATTGATATATTTGGGCCACTTAAACCAAACTACGATTGGGCCAGTTGTTGCATTGATACATTTGGGCCACACAAACCAAACTACGATTGAGGCAGTTGTTGCATTGATACATTTGGGCCACATAACAACACTACGACTGAGAAAGTTATTGTTGCAATAACACATTTGGGTCTCATAAACCAAACTACGACTGGACCAGTTGTTGCACTGACCCACTGGGCCACATAAAAAAAACTATGACTGGGCCAGTTTTGGCAAAACAGTGCCATCAATGCCAGACATGGCCCACATCTAATTAACAAACCATTTGACATGCCATCAGTAGCAGCTTGGCACCTGATCTGGCCCACACCTGTCTGCTATGTGGGGTTTGTCTCTCATGTCTTCTTGTCCTCCTTGTCCAGATATAACTCCACCCACAGATGAGAGCGTCACCCTCAGAGAGGTCCACACCTCCACCGCACCAACATGGCTGAGAAGAACCTCCCCACTCCGACCTCGGGGTCTTCACCTGCTCACAACGGGACGATTGGGGTGGTATCAAAACGCTCTCCAAGTTCTCACCAAAACGGCTCTTTGGAACCGGGACTAGAACGCCAGAGTCCCAGAAAAAGCAGGACTCCAGCCTCCACCTCACCCCTTAGGACCCTCAGGGCTCTTAGAGGCCTCAGAACTCCTGCAACAAGTTCTGGTTCTGAAGAGGCCTCCAGTTCCAGCAGACCCCGGGGCCAGAGCTTCGGCTCTGTACTAAGCTCCAGAACCAGATCCATCACCGCTAAAGACAAGGCAAGTGTCTGCTGCTGTAGACCCAGCTGGTGTTCACAGTCTGACTCAGAACCTGTAAGGACAACAAGAGGAAGTTAAAGGATAACTTTTGACAGGCTCCGCCCACTTTTGGATGGAAATAAATAAATGCTGGTGACATAGTAGAGCTAAGAGAGGTTTTGTGTATTTTGCAGATCAAAAGCAGCCACCAAGCAGAACCAGAAGCCCTGTTGGACCTGATTCTGGAGTCTCAGAGTCAGAGACTGGATGACCAGAGAGCCAGCCTCAGTCTGCTGCCGGACTCAGAACCAGCTGCCCTCTGTGGGGCCTGCAGTCCTGATCAGAACTCTGTCCCCAGTTTGGACTTTTACTACATGCTGATACACTACCAGGTACCTGCAGCACTCACCTGCCGACCTTCAGGACACACTAAGGTGGTAATATACAATACAGCCTGATACCAGGTACATACATGGTACTTACAGGAAACATACCTGTACAGAACAGGTACATACCTGATACCAATCAGGTTTGTGCCAGTTCCTTCAACTGGTGCTTACTGGGTACTCACTTTGTACTCATCCAGGTACCTAAATGGTACTTACTGGAACAGCTACATACCCAGTACATACTGGGTACAAACCTGGTACCAATCAGGTATGTGACAGTTATTCAACTGGTATTTACAGTGCACTCATCCAGGACCCTACCTTGACACTTACCTGGTACATAGTGGGTACTTACCAGGTGTGTACCTGGTAAGTGCCCTTTAAGTACAGAGTAACCAGTCATGTCATACTTACAGAGCACCTCAAAGTACCAGGATGTACAAATAGATACTAGATATGTACGTAAGTAGTACCAGGTATAGTTATTAGGGTTTTAAATTAACAAGGTAATAAGTCAGCTCAGTTCCCATGGGTACATGGTATGTATCCTGGTAAGTACTTGGTACAAATGCTCTAAATATCAGGTATGAACCCTGTAGGTACATGGTAATCAGTCAATTCAATCCCCAGACGCAGCTGGTATGTACCTGGAACAAACGTATGTACCAGGGGTCGGATTTATAAAACTGGCGTACGCACAATTTGAGCCCAGAAACTTGCGTACGCCACTTTTTACGCCAAGGTTGTGATTTATAAAATCCAAACTTGACGTGAAAATGTGCGGTGCCTCACGCCAGCTCTGACCCATGCGTACGCTCATTTTGGAGACGTGAAACTGCGACACAGATGGTGAAGTGAGAAATTATAACCACAC